CACGATGGCGTGGCTCATCGACGGCATACGGCGGTTACGCCGGACAACCTAGTGGCGCTCTGATGAGACCAAGGGGTCAATTGAGCTCTATGGCCAAACACGCAAGGATGGTGGTGGTTGGTAGCTTAACGGTGCACTACTGAGGCCTGGTCTCAATGACGGGCAGAATCGTTTGGCGGTGCGACTGTTTCGGCGGCCTAAGATACTATCGGGGTGGTAGAGATAGCGGGTAAGCACCAGTAGCTCACAGGAATTCGTGCTGTAGTGACGGTTGAGGCGGAGGAGTGCTGAGGTGGCCTAGCCACATGCGAGCCGCCGGGGCGGCGGTGCTCCGGGATGGACACCCATGCATCACCATGTCTCCAGCAAGTGCCCTGGCCAAATGACGCGAGCACCAGATAGAGGAGGTCAAAGCGAGCCCATGGATACAAACAATTGAACCCATTCGGACCTTACCCTAATTTCACTGGCACGGCGGCGCACCTGGCCGGCGGCGAGAAAAACACCAAATTGGCGGCCAGTAGTGCTCGGTTACGCCAAGGTAAGGGTCATGCTGCTAGCTGGTTTTCCTGTCTAACTGCTGGAACGCTGAATTGAGGTGTGGTTCCCCAAACCGCACGTATTTATCATGCGAAGCGGGGCGATTCTATCGGCGACAAGGGCAGGCGAGGGCGGCAGCTCTTCAAGGCTGTACCTGCTTCGGTCGAGGCTGTGTTAATGAAGCGAGGCATCCGCATGGGGAAGACTTAGAGAGAGCGTCGTGGAGCACCATGATGGGACTGCTCGGCCATGGCGGGACGCGGGCGACGACAGTGAAGCAGCAATCGCCTGTGGGACCGTCTCGCGGGGCCGGTGCAACAAAACAACGCGAGGGAGGGCAGTGACACCGCGGCAAGGTCATTAGTGCGACGTGACTATGGAGGTAGGTAGCGGCTCGGCAAGTAGGTGGTTCGAGCGGTAAAAAGAGTGCCACGTCGGCTAGACGAAGGTCGCCGTGACATCAGTCTAGCCCACGCATGTCCAGGACGACAATGCACACACAACGGCTATGCAGTAGCAGCCCAGCACCATGGAAGGTGACCGCGGCCAACCTCTAGACCGACGCACGGCCGACAGCCAACAAGGTCGGCCACGAGCATGATCATGGCCAGGAACGGCCAGGCATCGGCAATGTGTGCGCGTGGTGACTGCGGATTCAGGCCGATCGACCGCCACTGGTGTCGCATACGCATTTTAAAGTGACTCAAAAGTTGTTGATCCTCACGTCTGGAACTCAACCAATTTTACTACTCTAAAGTCCACACTACCGATTATCTAACGAAGCAATCGTCAAGATCAAAGAGCAGTTAGGGAGGGAGATACACGAATGCCAACCTGAGGTCATCCCCGAAGTGCAAGTTCATGAACAGAACGTTAACGACATAGTTCGCAGCGTGTTTTAACGAAGTTTGGGCAATTTTTACGAGAGCAACATGACACCCAACACAACAACCACCTATGCCATGCTCAAGTACTCATTTTGATGCAATCAACAATACCAAAACATGTAGCTAGCATTTAAACATTTTTGTTACAAATTAAATGTCAAGATAGCATTGTCTTACTACTTTTCCCATACTTAGAAAAGTTAAGGTTCAGTTCGAACTAACAGTCATTAACAATTTTGTTACAATTTTTAAAAGGCCTAAACCCTATTAACTCCAACCCATAAGCATTTCATGCAATGGTCCATACTCAATACTAACCTATAGGAACAAAATATTTAAGCATTAATTAATTATTTTGTCCACAATAAATCACCAAAAATAGTACTTTAAATGTAAGTTCAAGTGTTTGCCGTCTTAACGAAAAGAGCTTATCTTAACTTCAAATTTGATTTTTGAGCTCCCAAGAGCACTAGTTAACAATATTTATTTTGATTTTTCTCAACTATAAAAGTGAGTCACATAGAATTTGTTTATCATTTCAAGTAAGTTTTAAACTCTTAAACCCAGCGAACTTGTTTTGCTAATCTCTTTTAGGTCTTATTCTTAGTGCTAAGCAGGCTCGTAACACCTTGTTACAGATATTACTTCAACAACCTAAAATATGTCATAGAAAATCTCACAAGTACTATTGAATACTCAAAGATAATAATGGAATATCTCATTTATATTAGGTGAACATGCGAAAACATACATAGAGCATCACATGTATACTATACGAACATCGTAGGTATCTTATGGAAATGTAGGAATTAAAAGCTTAAAAACTATTTAAATAAATGAGAGAAAAAATAAAATAAAAAAGGAAAAGAAAAATAAAAAAATCATGTAAATAGAGGAAATAAAATAAAAATATGAAATTGAAAATGAAACAAAAATAAAAAAAAATAATGATCAAGTACATAAAAGAAAAATCAAAATAAATCATGGAACATCTTATATGTACCGGTGTAAGCTGTGAAGTCAATAATATATCATGAAACATCCGATGGATACCATGCGAACACCACAAATATACCATAAAACATATCATGCGTAGCGTGAACAATCGAAAATACGCCATACAACATTATATGGATATGATGTGAACACCCAAAATATATGTAGAACATGTCATGTGTGCTACGTAAACCATTAAAAATATATCATAGAACATCGTATTAATAATACATGAACAATAAGAAAATATTTGTGGAACATCTTACGACTACAATATTTGTAGAAATAAAAAATAAATAAAAAGTAAAAAATGATATATATACTATGCAAACATGAAATGTATCTCATGTACATAGGCAACAAAAAGAACTTCAAAATAAGAAAATAAAAACAGATCATTAGAGTAAATTAAATAAAGAAACGAAAGTATGAAAACATAAAAGAAAAGAGGAAATAAATAGAATAGACGATAAATAAAAATAAAATAAGAAATTTAGTAAAAAAGAAATAAAAGAAAAATAAAAATATAGAAGAATGAAAGACTAAAAAACAAAAAAAATAAAAAGGAAGCAAGAAAAGAAAATGAATCATGAGTCATAAAAATAAAACAAAATAAATCAATGAAACATCTCACATATATTATAAGAACATCTCATGGAATATAGAAAAAATTAAAACATGGAAATAAAAAATAAACATAAAAATATGAAGAAAAAAAGAATAATGAAAACCATAGAAAAGAATTAAGGAAAGAAGAAAATAATAAATAGATAAAAGGAAAAAGAAAGGAAGAAACGCGCTACTGGCATCTTCGTGGAACACAGCCACACAGGGTTGCGCTAAAAGCCTTGAAGGCTGCGGACACATGGGCCGCCAGTCCGAAACTGTGGCCCATTGTGCTTCATCCTTCGCGGTCCAGTATGGGTGGTCGGTGGGATGCTCGGGTCCGACCGGTCGGACGGCCGATGATTCCCGCATTCTCCCGGCTGCTGCCCCCACGCGAGCGACCGGCCGACCCTGAGCCCCAGAGGCCGCGACGCAAGACGCCGCCTCCGACTTCGAGCGCGAGCGACGCCGCCCCGAGCGCCGAGGCCGAGCCGCCCGAGAGGCACCCCACCGGCCTCCGCCCCGCTCCCTCGTCTGGGCCTTGCGCTGGTCACCGAGCCGGGCTGCGCGCGTCGCCGCGTCGCCGAGGTGCCGACTGCCGAGCAGCCGAGCAAGCTGCACGCCGTCGGGGCTGCGCACGTGGACGCGTGGCCGAGGTGCCGACTGCCGAGCATCCGAGCAAGCTGCACGCCGCCGGCCACCGGCTGCGCCAAGCTGCAGAACAGCGCGCCAGCGCCCCTGGACCGGTGAGTGTGCTTCTGAAGTTCTGAGCTCTCCCAAATATCATACTGCCGACGCCGACGCCCTACGCAAGCTAACCAGGTCTTCTTAGGGCCTCTTCTCCAGGCCTTCGTCGCGTCCTTCGCCGGCGACGAGCACCCACCAGGTATGCTCACCCCTTCTTGCTGTGCGAAACAGGGGACCGAACCCTAACTTACTATTTGGCTATCTGTATTCGGATCTGATCTAATCTAATTACAAGAATACAACTATATACAAGTGTATACATGCTTTACTGGGTCTCCCTTGTTTACACTTCTATAACCGCTGCTCACCTTAGATTGGGCCAGGCCCCAGCAAGTTGCCCTTGACAACTTAGGAGCTGTTTGGTTCGCGCATTTAATAACCGGAACCGATCACAGCGGGAACCGATCACGATAATTTTGTTTGCTTCACCGTCAAGGGGACCCGATAGCAGGGTAACCGATCCTGTCCTTCAGACGACCGATTACGCCTGATTTTGACCGGCAGTAGGTGGCACTCCCGGCCATGCAGTTATCAAGGAGAACCAAACAAGATACGAAATCATCGATTTCCTTTCCATTCCCGCGGCGGACACATTCCCTTTACGTTCACGTTACATTTATATAACCAAACAGCACCTTAGACGATGCCAGCAGTCTAGCTGGTAAGGAGAGCTCACGCCTCGCTTAGCTAATTGAGTTGAACACAATTAGCCAGTCTGGGCTGACTGTTGATGATTAGGCGATGACTGCACAACGCTGTTCTGGATCATAGCCTCACCTCATATAGGAAATAATAATGATAGGATGACACATAGCAGAACAATTCTTGGCAAGTATACGTCTGACAAGTCATTTGTACAATGCATATGGAAGGAATGATCCTTATCTTTCATTTTGTTCTTGGGACCCCTTTTCTCCTTCTTGTAGATGTGCCTGTTGATAATGATGTCTTGCTAAATTGGTTTTTTTAGGAAACAGGAGGGGCTGGGCCCCCTACTGGAAAAAATCAATAAAACGAACATGGCAACCAAGTACAAAGCCTTGCTACATTTTGCATTTCCAATCCCCCCTGTTATCTCTCGATCCCAAATTTTATTTCATTGCAGCTTCCTGTTCATAAAAATCCTGCTACTCATAGCTTTTCAACAATGTGATGTCATCACTTGTTTTTGGTGATAATAAATAATCTCCGTGACCAGGTACTTTGCGCCAGGATAGCAGTGCTATGTCAAAAGCTCCAGATGATCAGTTGCAAGCAACAGAGCAGGAAGGAAGTGTCCATCCAAGTCAACAAGCAGGGCAACAACATGTGAATACACCAGATCAGATCTCCAAAACAGAACTAACTGAAGGGTCAAAAAATGAACAACCTGTCCAAGTAGAGCAACAGAATTCCCACCTGCAACAAGCACATCCAGAAATTCAACTACAACAGGCTGAAACAAATAGCTTCCAGTTAGCTGAAAAAGAAACCGGGTATTTTGGTCAACAGAGTTTTGCAGGTGCCAAGGTGGATGTAGCCCAGCCTTCAGTAGTTCAGCAGAATGTAAAGCAAACTGTTGGTCAACAAGCATCATCTGGTGCTCAGGATACAAGGAAAGGACCATCGATACCATTTAATATGTTAATTCCAATCCTACAGGCACATCTTGACAGAGACAAAGATATGCAGCTTCAAGTTGTATGGGCAAAACTTAGGGTGCGTTTGTATCCCTCTGTTATCGTGCTTCAAACATAATAGACACTTGTGCTTCATCATTACCAATGAAAAGTGCATGAAAATAAACTAAGTCAAGGTCTGCATTTCCTTATAACTACATATGTCAGTAATGTCACCAAAACAAAGTGAATGCATGACAATTTGGAAAAGACCTTGTTTCTACTAGTTTGTTTGTATTGAAGAAAGCAGATAACAAAAACAACAAAGGCTCAAAGAACACACTTAGTGCCAGTGTTTGCACCAGCGTTGCTGAATGAACTAACTCAATTATATCGTCCTTTGTTTGTAGCGTAATGAAGTCCACAAAGATGATTTCTTAAGAGTTATCAGGAATATTGTTGGGGATCAAATGCTCAAGCAGGCAGCTCATAAAGTTTTTGTACAGGTGAATGAATTGCATTAACTTCATTGCTTCCTTTTCTTTCCTTGACAAAAAACTACTCGTCACAATTGATGGGCCCACTCTTAAATCGAATGTTTAGTAAATGATTCAATTCTATGATGAATATTTCATGTGTTTATTCTTTTGTTTGAACAATTTTTGCAGATGCAAGCACAGGCGCAAAGAAATAGCCAGGCAAATCCAAGTCAGCAGTCTTTATTCTCTCAAGTTTCTTCACAGCAGATGCCTTCCAGTGGTTCAGCACAGTTACATGATCAGAAACTTCGGCCACCTGGACCACCCAACCAAGGTCAGAAAAACCAGGTGTCATCTTCACCTCAGGCTTTTGCACCACCGTCAGGCACTCAAACACAGAATAGTGTACACTATCTTGCTCATGATAACTCTAACCAAAACCCTGACGCAAAGGGAACAAATGCTGTACCAAATCAACCACCTAGAATGGACACAGCAGTTCCATTGCAAGCAAAGAACAAACAACATCAACCAACGCAGTTGCAGCAGGCCTCGCAGCAAATATATGGAGCAAGTAATCCCGGTGCCCAGGCTTACCCTCGGTCAATCACTGGTTCTCTTCGATCACCGAGTCCTGTTCCAGAAACACAGCCATCCATGCATGCTCCTGGAATGGCTCCTGCAAAAATCGTCCCTCCTCCTACTCATCCAATGATGCAGCACAATGAAGTTGCATGGCAAATGCATCAAAACAAGGAATTGAAAACTAATGCTCCCCCTCCAAATGCTAATGCGAAGCAAAATTCTGAATCTGTTGGCAAAGCACGCATGGCTGGCACAGGAAATTCTTCAGCTAAGGGAAAGCAGGTGAATCCACTTAATACATCATTTGATCTCTCTTTGAAATGACACATGTTAATACATCTAAATTTCACATGTGGTTCAGTTGATTCAAGTATCTTTGAATAATGCGAGACATCAATTACTTTTCATTTATGCAGTTTGTATTATTTATGTACTCTATTTTTTCTCTCGCTAGCATTTTATTTTCATTTATTTTCACATTAAACAGAATAGAGTTAAAATGCATTTTTGAGAGGAGCTCTTTTTGTTGTTTGAATAGAAGATTGGTCATTGACTCACGTAGGATGCTCAGCACTTTGATGGCATTAGTTTAATCAAGTTTTTGGAACATTTAAATTTGGAAAATATGACCAATTGTAGTATCAGTTAGCTTTTGTTCTTATTCTGAATTCCAGAGAATTATTAACCACAAAGCAATTTTTTTTCAGTCATTTACCAACATTTATGCACCATGTAATTTGACTATGTTGACTGGTTGGGCATATAGAAGATTGGTCATGACTCACCTAGGATGCTTAGCACTTTGATTGCATTAGCATCTGGTATAATCAAGTTTTGGAACAATATGACCAATTGCAGTGTCAGTTAGGTTTTGTTCTTATTCTGAATTTCAGAGAATTGGCAATCACAAGCCACCTCTTTTCAGTCTTTTACCAACATTTAAGCACCATATAATTTGACAATGTTGATGGTTGGGCATATATTGCACAGGGTCTGGTTGTTGCATGCAGGGTAGTTCAGGACTGTAATGTGGAATGTTGGGTTATCTTCGTGTTTGGTGGAGCTGGCAGATAATAGGGGTGCCCAGAGAATGCTTTACTGTAGAAGACACATAACAAGATGTGATCAACGATTTATGAATCATGTTTAACCATGTGTGTTGTGATGGGTGAGCTGAGATGCAGGGAAAGTGGTGCTGATTAGGCAGAACTGGTTTGTTGGGAGGTGTGTGTGTGTGTGGGGGGGGGTGCGTTGAGAATGTAGTAGGAGTGGAGAGAATTTTAGGTCACTCAGATTTGTAATTAGTACATGATGTGGTTTTAATGGCTTTAGGGAAGAAGCTTCTAGACAGTAAAATGTGCATGTTGCCTTCTAATTACAGATCTAATGTCAATTTGTGTTGGCCAAATTTCAGGATAACCTAGTAATTAGTAAGATAACCTTGTAACTAGTAAGTCAAAACCACAGTTCTGAGGGCATTTACTTTTGCATTAGTTACAAATGAGATGCTTGATCCTTCATATTAGCAAATGAGCTTATGGAGAGTCGCTTTGCATATAGTTAATATATATAATATTCAAACCTTAAGTTCTGTTGTCAGTTAAACTCTCAACTATGAGTTCCATTTGCGTTGTTACAGACTTCACCCAGACGAGGTGAAGTCCAAATGCATTTTTATTTTCTGAAGGACAAACATTACATAATTTAGAAATGAAATAGTAGTAGGATTCTTTCCCCGTCTGACTACCTTTGTTTCCTTTTTTATATACTTATATTTTTGCATTTCTTTCATGCTTTTAATTTAAACTATGCAATTATTTTAGGCCTGTGCGCATGTCATTCAGACTCATACATTACCTCGTCTTTCTGTCTTGCCAGGGAACTCCTAACTCTACACCCAATGCTAGTGGAGGTGCAAAGAGTAGCAAGAAATCGGGTGGGCAGAAGAAATCATTGGAAGCAGCAGGCTCTATGCAACCTTCAAGGTTTTTAATTAAGTGAACTCTAAATGTATTAAACTGCTATGGAATATTTACATTTTTTGGATAGCCCTAAGCATATTTCTCTTTTCTCATCAGCAAAAGGCAGAAGACATCTGGAGCCTTCCAGGAACAAAGCATCGATCAACTTAATGATGTCACAGCCGTTAGTGGTGTTAATATCAGGGTATGTCTGGCTGATGTTTTGCCAATTTTCATGCAGAAATAACCCTCCTTCTGATGGACATGGGCCTCTATTGTAAATTCATGGCTGCACTGTTCACATCTGCTATATAACTGTGATGTAGCTGATGTGATAGCAGATATAGTTGCTAAAATTCGATCTCAAAATTCTATACCAAGCTGATAAGCAATACAACATCTCTAGTGTCTACGATAGGGATGGATTGAATTTTAAATTTTGCATGAGGTACTTCTACATTTTATAGCATCAGTGCACATGTTCTGCTGAATTTGGTGTCGCTTATGCTATGTCGGTTGGACCACAAGGATGTTCCAAAAGAATCTTTAAAATTCTGGCATACACCGTTTATGCTTAAAATTTCACAATTCCTGCATCATCTCCTGCACTCTATGAGCTTCCGACCTGTCAGCCCATTGTATCATGTGTCTGTAGGAGTCAGACTTGTGTGCTTTTTTGATCCGCTGTTTGCATTTTGCTCATACGTTCTTACTTGACAGGAAGAGGAAGAGCAATTACTGTCTGCCCCTAAGGAAGAGAACCTTGCCTCACAAGAAGCACGAAGAATTGCACAGGAAGAAGAAGAAAATCTTTTCCTAAGGAAGGGTCCACTCCTGAAGAAACTAGCAGAAATCGGTTAGTTTCTTTGAACTTGTTGCCAAAACTACAAATCCTACAACTTTAGTGGCAAGTGGCAACACTAACAGAACACGTGTTTTTGACAGCTCGGAAATGCGATCTGAAGAATATTAGTGGCGATGTGGAACACTGTTTATCACTGGTGAGTTATCCTTATGATTTTCATTGAGAGTCCTGCAGTATCCATAACTTATAACTTTGCCATAGTGTGTGGAGGAGCGCGCTTATAAGACTCATAAGTACTCTCATACGAGTCTCAAAACAGGTTTGCTCTTTTCTTCAGATCAGCCAATGATAGCATAGTTAACTACTTTGTGATTCTAACCATTCTTATTTTTGTTAGAGAATCGATACTGAAAAGACCGGCATCGACTAGTTATTACTTCAGATGTTGGTCGTCAAATTTACAGATGAACCAGAAAGCTAAGGAAGAATGGGATAAAAAAACAAGCAGAAGAAGCTGACAAGAACAAGAAACAAACTGAGGTGTTTCATAATCTCCATTTGATTCGAGTATTGCGATTTTGCTATAAATTTGAATATATAGTAGTTTTTTAGTTTATATACTTGCTTTGTGTAATTATGAACTGCTGGAATTTAAACTGTTACACAGAGAAGCATGCGCATTCATTTATCAATGCCATTTGTATTTCAAGTTTTTCCATATCAAGAATTAATGTTTCTAGTGTCTCTAGATTTGGTTTCAGCTTTGCTATCTTTGTCTTATGACCTGTACGTAACAAGATTGTTGAGCTCTAGCCGAACCCTACTTGTGTAGGACTAAAAGGCTTCGTGATGGTTGTTGTTAACAAGACTGATTGAAAATAAATCTGCACTGACTACACTACTCTCCATTGCGTATTTGTTAAGTTTCTGGGAGTTTTTTGATATGTGATCATGCCATCATGGTGAACTTAATGTGTCAATTGGTCAATTTGATTAACTAAGTCCTTCCTTGTAGGCTGATGGCAGTGGTGCTACAGAATTGGAAAAAGAAAAAGAGGAAAGTCGCCCAAAGAACGTCAAGGTAACTTTTCTGCGTTGATTTCTGAGTTGTGATGTATCTCCATTTCCTGACATCTTTAACCTCTCACAGCCCAACAAGGAAGAAGATGATAAAATGAGAACGAATGCTGCGAATGTTGCTGCTCGGCAAGCAGTTGGAGGAAGTGATATGCTCTCCAAGTGGCAGTTGATGGCTGAGCAAGCCAGGCAGAAGCGAGAAGGCTTTGATGTGTCTGCTGCTTCACAGCCAGGCAGAGGACCAGGTTCCAGGCCATTATCCAAATTTGGAAAAGGTCCCGGCGAACACCAGGAAGGTTCAAAGAGGAGCCATTCGGTGGCATTCGGAACTGGTAAAGCAGCAACAATATCACTAGCATGACCTCATCAATTTTTTTGGTGTATTAAATTCACATCTCATATTTGCATAATGTTTTTAACTCACGATATGTATGGTAATGTTGATTTCAGGAGGCATGAAAAGACCAGGCAGGGCACCGTTTGCTGGTCCACAACGAATGATCTCCGTGAAGGATGTCATCTGTGCCCTTGAGAGGGAGCCTCAGATGACAAAATCACGGCTTATCTACCGGCTGCACGAGCGGTTGCCAGATTCTACCATAGATTAGACCGGAATAGTCACATACTTTAGTGTGGTGCATGCCCAATTGCCCTTGCATGGTATTTAACAGCAAAGAAGCATACCCGCCACTCCTTCCATTTGGTGTGGTTTGGAGTGGCACTGTATATTGGTGAAAAATCTGTATCACAAAGGCGGCGAATTGCCAGCAAAAAAAAGTGTCTGTACAAATTGCAGTGTATGGGGGGTGTTTCTGGCATTTGTCTATTCTGCAACCACGGTTTGTTGGTTGCCTGGTTGCCATGCGCGTCTTTGTGCTCCCCATTGTCCTATGTCTGCGTGCCCTCTCAAAGTCTTTTGTAATCACGGATTCTGACAGTGGACATGCGATTACGCGCGGTCAGTTATTTAGAGATTCTTGCTTGCAATTGCATCTAGACGTGGTAATAGATGCATATGTATCCACCTAAATTCACGTAAAATTTAGTTTAAGATCTATCTCAATACACTTTAGTACACATAGATTAAAATAAATACGAGTACATCCAAACAAACCTTTAGATGTGATAATAGATTAGGATCCAAATCTCCGTAGAGAAACCCAATTAAAATTCAACGAAAAAAAATCCTTAGTCCAATCCTGCCTCAATGCAAAATGACTGATTTTTAATAGAATTGCTCTTGCTCTTAAGTCTAAATCCACACAATAATAACAAAACTATTATTATAGCTACATGTCTAAACCAATTCAATATGATACAATAATAATAACAAAACTGTCATTATCGCTATATGTTGGCCCTATGTTAAAAGTTGAGTTCTAGAGTTAAAAATCACGCATTTATATTTTAAAAAAATTTAGCAAAATTGACTGAAATATATTAGAGATGACTAATTATGATATGACTAGATGTACATATAGGCTCCACGTCAAAAGTTGAACCCTGGAACTAAAAACTTCATATTTACACCTTAAAATTTAGCGAAGTTGATTAGATTTATTGGAGATGACTTGATATGATTTGCTTCCTACTTTGTGCAAATTGATGTGACTACATATATGTGTGTTCCCCACGTTAAAAGTCGGACCTTAGAATTACACATTTACACCTTAATCTATCAAAATTGATTGAAATTTGTCAAAGATGACTCGATATAACCATTAACTACTCTGTGGCTCTGAGCGGATTGGTGTGACTGAATCTCATTGTCAACGACGAGTAGCTTCTCCGGTCTTCAAAACTTATATGGCGAGAGTGTTTTTTTTCTGCCTTTTCAGTACGATTTTCAAGTTCAGAGGACAATAGATGACCAAGGAAAAAGTGAATTGATTTGGTATTTGAAGTACTATTCTTTTAAAGGGCATTTTGTGTCGTCTATCTTTTGTAGTACGTATTAGATGTCGTTTAGGAACATCTCACCAATACCAAGGCCCAGGTTATTGTACCAAAACACCCCTATGAATAATCATGATGATTAGAACGTCCTGCAGGAGACAGGCGCATGCCTCGTCTTGGTGCTGTGAGTGAGCAACTGCCACCGTTAGATTTTTTCTATATTCTTTTATTCACTTCTGGACGGAAGCAAGCAGGAAAGTGCTGCACTGACCTATTATTGAATAGCACGGCAGAGGTCTGTTAGGCTAAAACATTAATTATTTTGGGACAATCTCTCAGAGCTAGAACGTCACGTATTATGGGACGGACAGAGTAGTATACTATATCGTACGGATATGTTTTGTGCTAGTAATAATTTTTTTTAAAAAAAAAACATGCGGTGGCGGCTGGCCGGCAGCCTATTCGAGTCCGACCGGGCCCCGAAGATTGGCGAACCCGGCTGCCGAGCTCCTGCCGCACGGCGTTAGCCCTGTCTGGCCTTGCAGCCTGAGCGCGCGGCGCGGTTGCCAGGTGCCGCGGAAGTCCGGCGTCATGAGCGCTCCCGGCTGTCCCAAGAGAGGAGGGGGTCGTTGCACGGCCGTGCCGGCGTCTCCGAGAAGCGCGCGCCGCCGTCGCTGGTGCTTGTCTGCTGCATCGGCGCCATTGCCCTCCTTGCGGACGCTAGCCGCACCCTAGCCCCAAAGGTATAGGTTCAGGGATTGCTGTCTCTCTTTCGTCTCCGCAAGGGATCCGGACCATGTTTGTGTACTAGCACACACTGCTCAGTTCATTTGGTGAAGAGTAAAACAGGATCCATTCCTTTAGAAATCTGTTCTGCAAGGTTGCTAGCACGGTAGATCCATCATCTGTAGAAATGCTGTCAATGTTTTGTGTTTACGTTAGTTGCTTTAATTGGTGCTCTCCTTATATTGGTTATTACTGGTATTGCCATTGCAGGAGGAGCTCTGTCTTGGCTCTTTTTGGTGCATTCGCTTGACACCTATTGGCCGCAAATTTCAAGGGGTTAAGTATGAGTTGCTCACTCTCCCTGTAAGATGTTTCCCTCCCATTGTATATCCGTTGACTTATTGGTAAAAGCGAATCACTGACAAATGCACATGCTAGTTTCTTAGGTGGATGCTAAGGCTGTAACTGACGGTGACACGATTACTGTGTATGTTAGCATGGCTCGTCATCCAGAGTCTAGCAATGTGCCCCAGGATGTGTATGAAGCAGGCATTGAGCGGAGCAAGGCACTGGCGGCAAATAATTACCAAAGAGCTGGTGATTTGCTGAAGATCATACTTGATGCAGGATATAGGTCCTTGAAAAAAAAAAAGAATTCTCAACAACCAAGTGGCCATCCTTTTCTTATGTGATTTCTGATACTTTTGAGTTCTTATTCCTGGGTGTAGGCAGGTTTGTGGCATTGGTGGGGAACAAATTCTTGCAAAGAATTACAGGATAAGGCTAAGGTTTGCCCACACTTGTTCTTTATCAATGATCACAGGCTTCCTTCTATTTGGAGTGGAGTTGTGATATAATAAAATGCAATGCAGGGGGATTGATGCACCAGAGAGCCTAATGCCATATGGCAAAGAAGCCAAAGAGGAGCCGTTTGAGGCTCGTGCAGGGGAAAAGCTTAAAGATTTCCATATATGACAGTGACTGGTACGGTCGCTTAGTTGGAGATGTTGATTATGATGGGGTTTTCGTGCAGGTAAGAAACTACAATGGCGTGCTTTCAGAGTTTCTTCTAGAAAGTAGTAGTGGCAACTCTTCTAGAAATCTAGCAGTGGTAATCTATCAAATCAGTGGATGATCTGTTGCTCCCTATGCTCTTTGAATTTTCTTGAAGGCACCTACTCTTGTAATTTTATAATGCATAGCTTAAACACTGCACCTGCATTGTCCCGGTTCTCTTATATATACTAAAGGAAATGAAACATACTGTTTGATTGTGAAAGGTGTGGGACTTCTCCTTAGGAAAAAGTGTAGAGATATGCGCTGGAACCAATCAATAGTAAAGATGGTAAATTATGCAAGAAAATGTTGCATCGCCTCAGCTGAAGATCACTTGTTCGGGGCTCTAATGCTCAGCAACACTGAGGACATTGAAATGAATTATTGTTATTATTTCTTTGCAAAAGGAACACATGCTGAAGAAAGGACTTGCATGGCACTATACTACTTATGATCATCGGATGGAGCTCAGCAAGGTAACTAGTACTCTTGTACCACTCTACTCAACATGGCAGAATGGACTGCTCCATTCCACTTGACTGACAAGAGCATGCTTTGATCATTTTATTTCCAAAATTCGAGGTTCCTGATAGATGAAAATTTTCAGTGGGAGAATCAGGCAAAGACAAGGCGAACAGGCTTGTGGGCATTGTCGAACCCTGAGAAACCATGGGAATGGAGAAAGAATAAGCGCACTGGGACAGTATGAAGCAGTAGTGGATTTTTATTTCAGGCTGCGACCAGGTGTTTGTTGATTTACCGTTCAGAACTGTTGCCCAGAAGGCCAAAAGTCCAAAACAGTGGTTCCATCGTTTTAGAGTGTGCTATTTGTATACTTGCAAGTTGTAACATCGTTGTAAAGTAGAGTAGAATTAATTGATTGATGTAATCTCTAAATGGAAATAGTTGTACTAGGACCTGATTGATTGTTTTAGAGTCTTTTGGTAAATAAAATTTGATTGTTGTAATGAACTATGAATCTCATGTCATTAAATAGTTTGTGTTGAATAAACTGAAGGCGTGTAGCCCTGTATCAAATTGATAAGCTTTAGCAGAACTGCAGAATGCAGAAATAATATAGAGCAGTGCTATATGCACTGGGGATGTAAAAGTAGGCTAAAGAGATGAGAAGACAACTAAAGTTTAAACATTTTTCCTCTATATATCTTATGCTATAGTTTTGAGAACAGTATAAAGATGCAAAAAAAAAAGACTTTAATGATGCTGTAAATTTCAGTCTGCGAGGGTGTTGTGGCAAATAGCATACGCATGGAGTGGCTCTGGGCCTAAAGCTAATCGACGGCCCAGACGAATAGAAGTACAAGCTTTGGAGAAATCGCGTCCGTCAGTTACTTCTCTTCCTCCAAACCACCTATGTCGCCACCGGTTTGCCCTTGCTCTGTCCCTGTGCCGCCATTGCTCGTCCGCATCCTCCTTGAATTTTACTCCCAGGTACGCGTACTCCATGCCATGCGCACGCATTCCTATTCCGATTCCTGTACGTTTCGTGGACTGGGAGGCTATTTGGTTGGACCGATTTGGAAAAGCTGGACTGATACATAGCGGATCTCGTCTTTTCTCACCAGTTTGCTGACGGTAAAGTTAGTAGCGAATCTGTATGGAAGTTAGAGATTTCTCGCCTTACTACTTCGTCAACTGCACAGCTAGCGTTTCTTTTTTTTTCCTTAGACGACGTTGTCTTCTTATAGGGAGATGAGGAGGGCATACAAAATTCATAAGAAGTGTGTCTTTTGATACATTCACCAATTGTCGTCCTTTTAGAAACTGAGCATGTGAAGGCTGATGTGAGCTGTACAGGAAGCTTATAGAGTGTTCTGATGGGCTCATACATGGGGCAGCAAGAACATGGGATATCTGATGGCTTGTACACTTACAAGCATCACCGCGAGGGAGGAGCTGATATCCATGTCATCTTTGTCAAGAAGAGCAAATTCAGGGTTCTGCTGTCGTACATGGGCACAATGTTCCTTCTTGCGACTGTTTGCTGCGCCCTGTTGTCAAAGGTATTTTTTCTTGAAATAGCTCTCAAATCTGTGACTGTTGGTTTTCACTTTTCACTTTCGTCTTTTCCATAGCTGGGCATGTTAATTACAAAGGCGCAATTCAATTGAAACAGTTCAGTTCAGTTGTGTGGATATTCTGGGAGCATCCTTTTCATGAGCTACTTAGTATAGATTCAGGTTTTAACTAGTGAAGCGATATGTTACGTTTCTGAAGAACAGCCTTATTACACTAGTGATGTTAGTGGTGCTTTATCTGTTTTGCTTCCCTTTTACTAGTTTGTAAGTAAAACCTAAGGTATGTTGAGTACAGCCAGGTTGATCATAGGCAGTATTTTAACTGAATGGTGGTGCTTAAATGTTGCAGGATAGTTTATGTCTTGGTTCCCTTTGGAGTATTTCATTTGCCAGTATAATTGCAAAATGCTTGCGATGCGACCCTGTGAAGAAAGGTGGGTGCTGAGGTTATTTTTCTCTGTGCTCTGAGTTCTTTGTAGTTAAATTTTCTTTGAAACAACTTGTAGTTAAATTTTCAGTGCTGCAAAAGAAAGAAAAAAAGATTTACATTTCTTGGTATCCATGTTGAAAATGAGTACAGGAAAGTGAGACTGTGTGCTCCTTATTTGGTATCTAGTTTAATTTTTGTGCAGAGTCATTGGTGATCATGCCGACTTTTGGGGTTCAATTAGAGCAACACTTTTGGAGGTATGGAAGAACCAGTCTGGAATATTTATTCATGCTTTCAGTATTTACTGCTCATCAAATATTCTTCCAAGAGAACAGACTATTATAAATAGAAGGGAGGAAGCAAAGGCTTCACAAGGCTAAAGGAAATAAGTGCTTTCTTTGTCATTTTCAATATCTTAACACTTTTTTAAAAAAAAATAGATATATACTTCTTGTCAGTACTTGTCTTTGACAGGAACACTGGATTGAGCCATCTTTTCTAGGGGTGCGAATTGCTGCTCCTAAGGGTCTCCATTGAATCGCTTTAGTTTAATTTATATTTTATAGTGCTAGTTTTTCAAAATATGCACATTTTGGAAAATTAGTAGTAATAATTGAACTAAAGAGGGATGGCTGGTGGAGAGTGGAGACTCTTAGGGGCACCCATTTGCACCCCTCTTTTCATTTTGCTTTAGCTGGAAATGACTAGAGGAGACTTCCAACATTTTTGTTTTTTGGATGGCTTATGAGCTGCAGAAATGTAGGCTTGATCCTTTCATTTTCTTAACATCAAAGTTGTGTTTCACAGTGGAAGAGTTCATCGCAAATTTGTGCCCATTGGCAAGATTCTAAAACCAGTGCTGAATGAGCATGTGACCCCTGTCTCATGCTACTGTAACTTGGCCTTGCTTCTGCGTGAAGAATATGATCTCATGCTTGTTTTCAAGGTAAATGTTGCCTGCTTTTAGTATGTCCTTATTAAGTGCATTGTAAGGCATCAATGGTCTGAAAGAGCTTATTTTGCAGAACTTGAATCCACCAGTCAAGATGTTGGTTCCAATCTGGAAAGCATTATGTGCATTCGTAGACTCCAAAACTCTGAGCGATTCTGCATTGCCTCAATCCACATAAACATGCTAAACAAGGTGGTGGCGGTGTGCAGTCCTGATGATACATCGAACATATGATTCGCTGAAGACTTTGCTGACTGACAACAGAATGTTTAGTTTCGATACAAATGAATGATGGAAGGTACAGAATGTTACTGACACCGGGGCTCTTACTTTCACCTCAGGAATCCAGTGATGCAGTTGTAACTTGGCCATTGTATAAACTATGTTCTGTCCTCTGAACATTTCAGAGTACAATGTACTGGTACAGGTCCTACTCATGGGTAGACTGTAAGATCATTGGCTAGCATTCCTGCGGACATCAATAAACTTGGTCGCCTGCATGGCAAACATTGGATCCGCTCTGCTGATTATCTTTTTCCTTGACCAAGATATGAAATTAAAGTAGGGGGTCATTAACCTCGCGCAGACACGGACAAACCACACGACCGCATGTGCACTGCAAGTGTGCAATAGCATAACAGACAATTTCTTCTTCTTGTATCTGGTGACAGCTACTTGAGCACAACACTGAAGTCTTAAACATTTTTTGGGGGGCACTGTTCTGTCCATTAGCACCAGTTTATCAGGCATTCAGGCCAATAAATGCAGTGGATCTGAAGATCTATAAAGATGGGGATCTGTACTTGCCGGTGTTAAAAAAAAACTCATCCAGTCATGATCATGCCAGCCGTGCCATCATCATCATTCATCACTAACATTCCAATTCAGCTCAGCTGCCTGAACCAGGCAAATTGCTTGATTGAAATCTCTAGCACTTGTCTCCATCCCCCTGATCTGAGTTAAACAATAAACAGCTACAAGTCACGAATAATTTCCCCGTTTGGAGCGCAGCCATTTTCGCCGAACCTTTTACGAGCTAGACCTGCTTTGTTTCGACGAAATTCTCTCAGAATTCCTATGAAAATCCATGCGGCTACAAACATGCCCTGGACAGCCTCTGCTCAATAAAATGCCAATTGCTACTATTGCTATGGCTATCAGCGAGCAGCGAACTGTCGGGTCACCGACACACAGAGAGAATCCAACACACAGCTTCGTGTCACTGTCGAAGTGGGCTCGAGGTGGGAGTGCATGGGTGACAACGAGTGTGACAGCAGCAAGGACAAGCGAGGAATAAACGCGAGAACAAAACGGCAATGATGTGGTCGTGTCTGCACTGCATTGTTGCTCATAGTCAAAAGAAATTGTGATGATAAGGATCAGATCAGGCCTTGTTTCCTTGCCGCTAGGTTGCGTCAATCTCCCATTTTCTCCTCACTGTTCTTAGTGCTCCCAGTGATTTTTCAGGTCTAGATTATCGGCACTATGCTATGCTTCA